ACAAGAAAAGATAATTGTCTGTTTTGCTTATATCTATACACCTTTCACTTTTTAAGACTAAAACAAAAGATGGATTTATTGTTATTCCTAATTAAAAAGCACAACAACAATAAAACAGTAGGCTACAATGACAAACTAGCTTTATTAACAAAAATTAATAAGACGAGGCATGGCATAGGATACAATGAAATGAAAATGTACGCAATGTATGATTAATGCTGAATGAAAAAGCGGAGCAATTTGATAATAATAGCCGAATTATAATGGGCCGCCTAATAATAATAATAATAATTATTATTATTATTATTAATAATAATACATTAATAGGAGAATGAGCCTAATATCGTCTTGACTATCGACAAAGATATCTGCTATCGTCGATATCTCTGACTATTGTCGATACACGATACTATCGTCTATCGGCACAACCCTATGTGTAGACTGTCTTCAGAAACGATTCGATGGCATTTTGTTTTCATCTTCGCTCCATGTAATACCTAAAGGAAGTGTTCTTAATCGCAATACTGCTTTGTCCACGGAGGTTACGGGAAACAGATCTAATTCAGTTTTCCACAAACTCATACTTGCATGCCCTGCTGTAAATTTTGACCGGTTGATGAAAAACAAGCTTATGTGGATTCTACACATTTAAACAATTCAGATAAGTTATCTAGAATTATTTATGGAGCAGATAAAATACATATAATCATTTATTAATCAATTATCATTTTGACTTGTATCTTTTCTTTATTTAAAGGCTGAAATGTGAGGTTTACCTTTTTATTAAACTTTTTCAAAGCTTTATTTGAACATTTACATTAGATATTTCAACATGCTATTAAACTGTTGTCAGTTAATTTGTCATTTAAAATCCGAACATCATTGGTAATGTTATTGTTTTAATGATTATGCAAACAAAAAGTCATTTTATTTGTTGTTTGTTGATTTTTAAATATAAAACTTGGTGAAGTGATTTACGTGTAGGTACTTTTTTAACATCTCCAGCCCATTTTAACAATACCATGATAATACTGATAACCGTGATAATTTTGGTCACTATAATCGTGATAAGAAATTTTCATACCGTTACATCCCTAATTTAGATATCAAGAAACTTTCATAAAATTTCTCATATCGTGGTCATATTTCACCACCCCCAATGAATGACAATGAAAAAAAAACAATGAATGGGTTTTTACTTTCAGAACTGCACTCTATATAGAGTGAAAGCACGTTCAATAATTACAGCTCATAATATTGTAACAAAACACTCATAACTACAGGTTAATCTATAATTAGTGGCATGTGTTATGCAAAGGACCACTATTACTACTGTTCAGACTCTATTGCATATTTGTACTACATACATTAAAACATTATTATTCAAATCAGGTGGAATGTTATTAAAGTATTAAAGTGGGACTCTTTTAGACTTGATGGTGGACTTGGTTCAGTAAGCCACCTAGCAACCACACACACACACAATACCCCAAAAAACATACTGTATCACATTAAAAACCAGTCAGAACACCTTAGCAACCACCTATTAACGCCTTTCAATTAATCCTTGCACTCACTCAAAACACCCCAGCGCCATTCATATTTTCTTCTACCAAATGTACAAATGTAGTTAGGATTATAGTCACATTTATCAAATTCATAGGAACAGCTCTGGCATCCAGGGTGTTATTGAAAGTAAAGCTCTGTGACTCTGTGTGTGTGTGTGTGTGTGTGTGTGTGTGTGTGTGTGGGCTGGTCTGTGGGTGGTCAGAGGAGAGCGAGTGACAGGGAAGGGCACCTATATGCACACACACACACAGAGAGAGAGAAGGGTCTGTTTGTACTGAGCTCCGATCGCCCACTCAGTAGCCATATTAAAAACAATGCCGACAATCAGCCAGCAAGTGTGTTACCGTGTGTGTGTTTACATCAGGGAGATCCACTGCTGCAACAAAACAGAAATACGGTCTCCCTGACAGCCAGTTTGACACTAAAACCACATTAAAGTGGCCCATCATAATATTGAGAACATATCAAAAGGACTTCGACATGCATCTCACATAACGACTTCTAATTGCCCATATCATTAGTCGTTTTATTGCCACAGCTTCTACGAGACGAAGACTATGATATCAGAATGTGTCAAATGGACAGCCACATTAAAACGAACTATTTCTCAATCCTCACTAACAGGATTGAGAAATATTGGCACTAAAAACACTAAACAGAACCATAAGCAGGCTGTCAACATGAAGAGCTCCTTTTTGAGACATTCTGCTCAGCTTAACAGTCCTCAAATAAATCAGAGATTACAACAAATTATGCAATTATGCAGGCAATGTCCCTCTGAAGAGAGAAAAGATAAGCCTCATATACAGAACATTAAGAAAACATGCTAACAGACTGGCCAAAAATCTCACATGAATATAATATAGCATATACACACTCCAAAACTTTGTGGGAATGAATCTTTTTTGTAAGGAATAAAGAATCACTCCTACTACCCTGATTTTGTGATGGTTGTCATGGCGATAGCAAAAGATCTCAACTGTAAACAAGAAACATGGATGCCAATAGTTTAACTCATTTGGTGGTTTCTATTTAGATTAAACTCATGTTTGGAAGCAGAGAGAAATTATATGTATGGTTTTTGCTATCAAAGATGAGGTTTGTGTTTCATTTGTAGGGTTAATGGCATGACACTCTTTAGATCCTCATGACTGAGATTCAGGGACAAGAAGATGTTTTAAAATATATATATAAAAAGAGATATTTGAAGCATACATGGCATTTTAATGTATTACTTGTAATTATCATCATAACTTATGTAGACCATTTTTTTTTTTCAATAATTAAAATAGTTTAACAGCTAGTAGTTTCTGCTATGATTTTAATGTATTACTTGTAATTATTACAATAACTTATTTAGACCATTTAATTTTTTTTATTTCTCCAATAGTTAATTAAAATAGTTTAATAGTTTCTGCTATGAAATGACTACTGAACTACAACTACTGAAACAGACAATTATAAAGATAAACTAAAGACATACGACAGTTTATTGTCGCTAGCTCAGATTTAAATAACCAAAACATCCCACTAAATTATATTATTATTAAATCAGAATATTAGTTTATCAATAAAGCATTTGCATGACAACAGTTAATTGCTGTATTGTGGTTTTGTCTATTAAACATTCATTTTGCCTTAATAGTTTTGCCCCAGAAATACATAACTCTAATTCAGAAGACAAGAACTGCTCCAAGTTGTCATGTTATAGTTATAGTAATTACAACATTGTGTAAACGCAGCATTCCTTCATGCCAAATACAGTAAACATAAGCAAATATCTTAATATATTAAATTCTGGGGAGTAAATTCAGCTGTAAATGCAGTTGTCACTCCTGTAAATGACCAAACTCTGTTTGTACACTAGGCCTGGGCGATAAAACGGTATCGATATTTATCGACGGTGCACCTTCTTCGATAACGATATAAAAAATGTTCGATATAGCGCACGATATAGGCACGTGCTATGAGTGACGCAGACAGCACACACAAACGCGAACACATGCTGAATTGAGTGCTGTGCCTGCCTGTGATGAGGAGATTGTGAATAAAGAATGAATATTAGTCGAATTTAAAATAAACATTTGCATTTGAATGTTAGGAGTGCGTCAGGGAACGTCATTAGTGGCGCGCGAGAATGCGGTGATGATGATGTAAGTGACGTTGTTGCATTTTAATGTTTTGTTAGTCTAGCCCACGAGACGCGCCGCTGCTGTGTTATGCATTCAAAATATTAGAGAAACACAGAAGCTCAATGCGGAGAAGGTATTAAAGGTATCTTGATTAGGTTAAAACTGAAACCAAGCCATTCACACAGAACGCATATTCAGCGCATTTTTTAGACGGACAAATATGACTGCTGCACTCGCATCTCACACAAGAGATGTAGCCATGCAAAGTTAAAACAGTTTCAACTTTTAGAAAACATGTCACGAATTTGTGGAGGTTTATTCCTTTTCGCTGCGCCTCATGTTTTTAAATGCAATCTGTGGGAATGGCGCTTCGGCTCTTTGGATTAAGCAATGCATAAATACATGATGCTGTTTTGTTCATAATTTTTATGCAATTTACGAAATTATATTTGATTTTTATGAGTTAATTTAGACGTAATGCACGTTTTTTTATAGACAGATATTTCCTTGCGTTGACAATTTAAATGTGCTGCATTATTTTGCTCATTGCGCCCTCCTGTGGCCTCAGGATGTCAAAAGTTTCCTTAAAACCTATTTAATCTGCATAAAACATTAGAAATTAGATATTTGTTTAATTTTTATTTTGTGTGTGATTGTTAAAACAAAAAAATATTTGTTGTCTGTCTCAATAAATTGGGTTAATTTAAAAATACAGTGGTTAAATGTAAAAAAATTTTTCTATTGCTCTTTGTTTAAAAAAAGGTTATAAAAAATGTCAATAATTATCGATACCAAACGATATGAAAAATTACATCGTTGATACATTTTTTAGCTATATCGCCCAGCCCTAGTGTACACATTACAATTAAACACTCTGAAGAGTGACAACCATGTTTAACTGCAGTGTGTATGTATGTGTCCATAGACTGACGATCATTCACCAGTATAATAAGGATCTCCAGGATGGACAGGACTCATCTTTGAGACAATTCATTAAAAAGTCAGATTTCCTGTTTTCGGGCTACTATTGCAAACTATATGTGGAAATTAATGAGCAAAATTTAATAGGGTTTGTTAGAGTCGATGGAGTCAATGTGTGTATTAGAGGGAGAGAGAGAAATAAAAAGACAGAAGAATTTCAGCCGAATCCAATTAAATACTTTTTCGCTGCACCTCTGGAGCCATGTCATTCCCAAAAGGCACTCCTCCTCTTGCCTGGTGATGAGACACACCAATTAACTCTGTCTCTCTCACATACACACACACACACACACACACACACATCTGTGTTCTCAACATGACTGCAGCTGCCAGCGCCATTAAAGATGAATAAAAGAGCAAGACCATACCGCTTTGCCTTTGGTCCCAACACAGCCATCATTTAACAAACAATTAAAACAATTAATGAGACTAGCTTCCCTTTGCGCGCTGGCGAAGGTCATTCATTTGTCGCTTCAATCATGACGGCTGTCTGAACGGTGACCATGTGTTGAGCAGGTTAGCATGTCGTGTGCATGGCAACTAGACTGGGACACAGATCTCTGGTGTACACGTGGCGCATACAAATGACAAGTACGTCATGCCACAGGAGGTACGGAGCGCTTTACTGGTCAGCGGGAAATGTTGTTCTCAATTATGAGGAGAATATGGATAAAATGTTATCGTGCAACTCCGATCCACATGAACAGATGAAAAAATCGTGGAATAAGCTCAGTGAGAAGTAGAATACGCTTGTTTCTGGCGATTGCTGCTGTTTGTTTGGCAGCAGGCTGCTGTGCAGACCCATTGTGTCTCTGAGCGTTTCTTGCTTGGCGGAGGCAATGCTGGCGAGATTGGCAGCGGGCAGGTCGCTCTGCTGTACACCGACGCTGCACATAAACTAATGCAGTTCAGCCAGCCACAGCCAACAGGCTTTCAAACACAGGTCTTATTATGTTAATAATGACACCACATCCTGTATGAAACTGATCCATGTGCCTCTACACAAAGCGCTCTCCAATACCAGCCATTAACAAGCAACTGCTGATAAACAATACGGCTAACTTTGAGCGGTAAGGGTTATAATGGTGGATGAATGCAAGATTGGACTATAGATCTTAGCCTAACACACAAAAAGGTGTGTAACTGCAATAATTTTACCATCTCCTTGAGATGATTTAATGAATTGTGTTATTCCTCACTTATAAGCTGGATAAAAGCATGAGGTAAATGAATGAAAGGTAGATGTAATGCTGCCTATTGAGTTAAAATGTAAATGTTGTCATCATTTATTAATTCATTTTGTTCCAGGCCAGTACAACTTTCTTCTGTAGAACATATGATGATCTTTTAATGATCTTCTCGCAACTGATTTAGAAAATAAAAGTCAGTATGGTTCGAAACAACATTGGAAGCCTCTAACCTTTCTTTAAAAATAAAATAAAATAAAATAAAATAAAATAAAATCATCTTTTGTGTAATAAAGAAAGCCATGCAAGTTTAAAGACAGCTTCTAAGGTATAACATAAAATATAAAATAAATCAAAACTAAAAATCAAGTTTGTCTGACCAGTCCAGTGAATAATCAGCAGATTTCAGTTAATGCTTTAGACCAGGTGTAGGCAAGTTTGGTCCTAGAGAGCCACAGTCCTGCAGAGTTCAGCTCCAACCCTAATCAAACACACCTGAACAAGCTAATCAGTGTCTTCAGGATTACTAAGGCTATAGACAGGTGAGTTTTTTTTCAGGGTTGGAGCTGAACTCTGCAGGACTGCGGCTCTCTAGGAACGAACTTGTCTATCCCTGCTTTAGACCGACTGCAAACTTACTTTACACTGCATAAGAGGACATGACAACAGGAAAACCACAAGGGTTTGCGAAAGTAGACCGTAAGTTGTGAAATTGTAACTTTTAATGCATTTCTATTTTATTTCAATGCGACAATGTCAAAACTGATTTGCTATCCATCTACTGGTCCATCAGAGCATCTTCAAAATCATTACTGTGAAAGGCTGGATTCAAAGTACCAACGTCACTGGTGGACTTGAAAGGGCACCTTTTATGCCCCTTTTTACAAGATGTAATATTGGTCTTGGGTGACCCCAGAATGTGTCTGTTAAGTTTCAGCCCAAAATACCCAACAGATCATTTATTATAACAGCTGGAAAATGTCATTTTTGGGGTGTGTCTAAAAAAGAGCTGTTTTGGAGTGTATCGCTTTAAAT